GGCTTCTCCGGAGCCTCGCGGACTGCCGACGACCCCGCCGCCCCCTCGGGATGCGCTGGCGAGCCGGCCTCGCCGCGGGCCCCCCCCCTGCGGGCCACCCTCGGGGCCTTGCCTGGCCGTCTCGGCGGCCTTCCAGGACCTCGGGCCCGCTCGGGAGCCTCCGGGCCGCACCTCGTGGCCTCGCCGTGGTCGCCCTTCGACCGCCTCGGCGGCCCTTCCAGGGCAGCCGCGCCGGCGCAGGCGGTACGACGAAGGCGGATGTGTGTCGCAGGCGGCCTAACCTCTCGACAACCTGTCGTCCCAGCTTGGGGGGGGAGTGCTGGTGACGGTCCTCTCGCGTTTGGGGGAGTCCTAGTCCCAGACCCATCAGTGCACTGACCAGTGCAGAAGGAACCGCACAGGCCGCGCCAGCCGCAGGGCAGGCCTCCCCCATGATGGCGGCCCTGGTGTCGTCCTCGCGCACGTGTATAACTCGTTGCTGGGACCAGCGTGCGTGCATAGCGCGTCGAATGGCGTTGGCATCACACGCTGCAAGCAGCACATCGCAAAAATGGCAGCCGTGCAGCACGCCATGAGCGGCCCAGCATTGATTGGCCTGTACGTCACGAGTCCCAGGTCCACCGACGCCCTGCCTTGTAGATCATGGTGCCTAGCACTGTATGGGCCTCGCTGGGAACTTGTGCACGAGCGCGCCACCCATCACCGGGCTCCAGGGCACACTGTTGAGGCACGTGGGGGTACTTCCCTTTCTCCGCGAAGGCGTGAATCGCAGCGAGAGGGTCCGCCACGGAGGAGGAGGAGCAGGAGGAGGAGGAGGAGGAGGAGGAGGAGGAGGAGGAGGAGGAGGAGGAGGAGGAGGAGTGGGAGGAGGAGTAGGAGTAGGAGTAGGAGGAGGTGGGGGAGGAGGAGGAGGAGGAGGAGGAGGAGGAGGAGGAGGAGCAGGAGCAGGGGCAGGAGCAGGAGCAGGGGCAGGAGGAGCAGGGGCAGGAGGAGCAGGGGCCGGAGCAGGAGCAGAGTCGCATAATCAGGGGCAGTGCCGAAAGAGCAGCTGCTCCCCCTCCGTTCCTCCCCTCTCCGCCCTCGTCGTCGTCCTTCCCGTCCGTTCTCCTCGTTCTTCTCCACCGTTTCCCCCCCTTCCCTCGCCCCCCTCGTTCTACTCCAACCTCCTCGTCGAGCAGGAGAACCCAGATCGCCGTTTCTGTCTGGCGCAGCTTCTTTTTCCGCACCACGTGACCCTCCCCCACCCTGGCAGATAGTCCAGGCGGCTATCGCCGGAAAGTATAAGACGGCGGAAGATGACCCAGAAAGCCTCGGGGAGGCAGCGGGGGCGCCCCCCCAGTGAGGGGGAGGGGCGGTACATATAGAACCCGTATCCCCCCCCCCCCTATCGAAATTTTGGTGTGCGAGTTGGGTTGGGGGTGGTCTGGCAGGCAGTCCGGGGCGCGCCTGCGCAGAAGGGCCCCCCCCCCAGGTGGAGCGGAGCGCCGACGGGGCGCCGGGGGCGCGCGCACACGTGGCTCCGAGCGGCGCGCCGCTCCCCGGGGCGGGCGAAAAGCTGCAGCGCCGCTGCGGCCGTGCCGCCCGTGCCCATGCAGCGTGCGCAAGAGAAGTCGGGGGCGGCAGAGAGGGGGGTGATGACTACAGTGGGGGCGCGCATCAAGAAACCATCTGCTTTTCGTCAGGGTATCCTGAGTTTCTTCGCTCCGCGCGCTGCGCGGTGACTTCTCGCGGCCGTTGAAGAAGCTGCTGTGTTCAGGGTGCTCCCGGTTTCCCCTCAGGCGCACCTCGCGCGCGGGGTCTGCAGGGTTGGGTTTTTTGCGAGGGTTTCTTGCGGCCGCGCCCGCACTGTAGGGGGGGGGTGAATCTCATGGCGTGGGCCATGATGTTTCCCCAGATTTCGTGGCGCCTTTTCTTGTTTTATTACGTCCCTGGTCCCCCCCCTTGGGCCGCGCACATGCCGCCGGCCGTGATTTGCGCCCGCCCCCCCCCCCCTCTTGGACGCCCCCCTCTTGGCCGCCCCCGAAGAAGAGTTCGGGAACCACGGTCGGGAACTACGGTCTTCGGAGGTTCTTCGTCGGTTCTCGACGCTCTTCCAGCCTCGGGAAGCCCTCCAGCGGCTGCGCCTCGCCGAGGGCGTTCCGGGGGTGCCAGAGAGGCGCCCCAGACGGCCGCCGGAGACAGAGAGCCGAGTTTTTTCCCAGTCAGTGCTTGCACTGAAGGGGTCCCAGCGGAAAGTGAAAGATTTGGCGAGAGTTTCCCGCCGATTTTGGTGGCCGTCTGGGTTCCCGGATTCCCGGTTCTGGGCTCCCGGGTCCTGGGTTATTGGCTCCTGGGTCTCTTTATCGATCCCGTTTCAAACCTTTCATTGATTGCGGTTCTTCTTTGGTGTAATATGGCCCGAGAGCCAGTGGGCAACGTCAGTTGTGGATGAGGTCAGGAATTTTGGCTTCGCGTGTCGCGCCGCCGGTTCCGGCCCACAACGCCTCGGTGCGACACGCTGTCCACGTCTGAGTTTTCCCGAGCGTCAGCGGTCCAGATTTTCCCAGCCTCCCGCCCCGCGGAGAGGAGCGACACGCTATCCGCTTGCAAGGCATAGAGTGTCGCCAGGGCCGCCGCCGCGGTTGCGACCGTAAGTGGTCGGCCCGCCAAAAGATGTCCCGCGGGAACTCCGGATCCCAGCAAGGCCCCCAGTCGACGACCTTTAAGACGCGTGTTGGCCCAATGCTACGATGCTCCAACCTACTTTAGCCTTGATCACCAGGAAGAATTTCGAGCACCCCAAAAAGTGCCGAAACTCAAGGGTTTTCACGTGCCGGGCCCTGAGGAGACACTCGCCCGACACTGTTTCGACTCTCTTCCGACACTCTTTTGACACTTTTTCGGGTGCTCGAAATTATTTCTGGGATGTGGTCCTTAAGCAGGACGGGAGCAACATATGCCTAATGTTCAGTTTCGCCGGCAGCGCGCAGTCTGTATCGGCCCCCACTTATCACACCAGCTGCGTCGTCTTGAAGGGCCTCGGTGGACGCGCACACGTTGGCGCGCGAACGCGCGCCCTGAGGATCATCGAAAGGCCCCCCAGGGGAAAGGTCTCTTATCGCATGCATGCACTATCTCGTATCCACGGTTCACCTGCCCACTCAGGGGAAGGATCAAACAAGCAAGCCCATCAATTCTCTGGTGACCGGAACTGACTCGGGTTTGCATTCAAACCTTTTCGGTTTACCCTTAGCCTCATGAGGTCGGTTTGGTTGTTTGTTTGCCCCTGCTCCCCAACTAGTGCGTCAAGTGGCCCACGGGTCTATCTTCCCCTCTGCGCTGGAGGATCGCAGATATTCTCATTTGACATGTGTTGAATGTACTTTGAGTCGCTTTGGCCCTACACGGGTTTCCCCACGCCTCCAGAGGCCTCCAGGGGCCCTCCGGAGACCTCTGTAGATATCCAGAGACTTTTGGGCATCCACCTCCAGACTTGTTTGATATCTTCTGTCGTCGGCGTCGTGGTCGTGGTCGTGGTCGTGGTCGCCGTCGTTGTCGTGGTCGTGGTCGTCGTCGTCGTCGTCGCTGTCGCCTCGTCGTCGTTGTCATCGTCGTCGTCGTCGTCGTCGTCGTTGTCGTCGTCGTCGTCGCCGACGTGGTCGTCGTCGTCGTCGTCGTCGTCGTCGTCGTTGCCGTGGTGTCGCGAGCAAGTCGATGGATTTCGACTTGTTGGATATCTTCTGAGCCGCCTGGGGCGCCCCCCGCCGCAACGGCTGCGTTCGCCTCGGAGGCCCTGGCCAGGACGCGCCCCGGGACGGGGAGCAGACTTCTTGACGGAGGGGGTCCGGTACCTACGACGTCATACACAGATTCGGAATGGTCCTCGCCATTTGGAATCCACAGCCCTCAGTTCTGAATCAGTTCTATAGGAGGGGGTACAGAGGACAGGGTGTTTACACAGTTTGGAGGAATTCGTGAATTCAGTGTGGGTCGGGCTTGACGCGCCTCGGAGAAAGCGCGCGCACCCGAATCGCAAGCATATAGCTATTAGCATCCTTGGGGGGCTGCGACCTGCGAAAGTGCCACCAATTTCGAGGGCTGCTGAGGGGGGCCGGCGGAGTGGCGTCGTGCGCAGATGCGGAACAGACCTCGCCATCCTTACGAGGCTGCAGTCCGCGGAAGTTTCGCCACTGTCGAAGGCGTCATGAGGGGGCCAGCGGAGTGACATGTAGATTCGACCTGCAATCCCTAAGGGGCTGCGACCTGCGAAAGTGTCGCCACTTCCGATGGCTGCTGCTGGGGGGGGGGGTCGGGCAGCGGAGTGACGTCATTCAGCATGGACCTCGTCATCCTTGGGGGGCTACGATCTAAGAAAGTGTCGCCATTTTGAGGGCTACTGTGGGGCGGGACGCGGAGTCTGCGCGACTCGCCATCCCTGGGGGCTGCGACCAGCGAAAGCGTCGCCACATTCGAGGGCTGCTGGGCGGGGGGGGGGCGGAGTGGTGTCTGCCGCAGACTCACATTTGACCTCGCCATCCCTGGGGGGCTGCGAACCGCGGAACGGTCGCCACTTTCGAGGAGTGTTGGTGGGGGTGTGGCGGAGTGACGTCGTCGTGCCGCCATCCTTGGGGTGCTGCAACCTGAGAAGCTGTCGCCACTTCTCGAGGGCTGCTGAAGGGGGCAGCTTGGCGCAGCGCTGTGCAGATCAGAGCGGGATCTCGCCATCTCTGGGGGCTGCGACCTGCGAAGCTGTCGCCTCTTTCGAAGGCTCAGTCGGGGGGTGGGTAGCCTACTGCTTAGTGCGGTGCCACGCAGCTCGGAGTGGGACCTCGCCGTCCATGTGGGGCCTCGCTCTTCGTCTTTCGGTGGTTGTCTTACGTGTCGCGCAGCGCGCGCGTTTGCTTGTGTAGCTTACACACGCAAGCTGCTGTCCTGCGGTATTGCCATCCATTCTGCTTTGGGCCAGCTCCCCTTGTTACTTGATGCAAATGGGTTGGTTCCGTCGCAGGGAACTGTGCTTGTGTGGTTATCAACCGAATCGGGTGTGTTTGGCCCCCTGGGGGCTGCTTTCAGGCCCTGGAGCCACCGACAATGATCTCGCAGCGACATCTGGTGATGGGGTTGAGGGCTCTGGGGCCCTCGACCCCATCACCAGAGCATGGCGTCCGACATCTCGGACCGCCTGTTCAAGCTGGACGCCCAACAGGCCCTCGTCCGAGCCCTTTGCGAGTCGCACGAGGAAGCCCGAGCTGCGGCACCCTCGGCATTCTCAGGCGCGGCCCAGCCCCCTGCCGCGGAGCTGCTCGACAAGGTCACCGCCCTCAGCACGTCGGGCAAGGACCTCGCGGCCTTCGTCAAAGAGCTCCTTGAGCAGGTCGCGGCCTTCGCCAAGGCCTCTGCCGCACCGCCAGCCGCCCCTTCCGCCGACGTGCCCATGGGCGACGCGGGTTCGGCAGGCGGAGCGGCCGCTACCCAGCCACAGCAGCACGCAGGCCCACCGGCAGCGGCGCAGGCTGGGCACAGGCCCGACATGGACGCCAACCGCCTCAGGGCGGTGCTCTCTGCAGAAGACCCTGCTGGCCTTCTTGCTCACGCTGCTGACGGTGACGAGCGCAAGCGGCTCGGCGACGCGATGGCCTTCCCGCGGGAGCACGTCGGCAAGAAGTTTCGAGGTGGACCTGGGCCCGCAGGCTCCACTGACGGCCCAGCAGCGGCTGCTACGCCCCCCGCGGCTGCTGCACCCGCCGCCGCCCCGAGCTAAGGGGCAGCCCGCCAACGGCGGCATCTGGCGTGGCCTCTCGTTGAACACGAACGCATACGCCACGTTGGGCCAGCTGCTGGGCAAGGATGACCTCAGGCAGTGCGACTTCGTCGCCGACCAGGAGATTCACCTCTCCACCGCCCGCGCTGCCGAGGTGGCAGCTCGGCTGGGCCGCCAGGGCTGGCAGGCCCTAGCCGCCCCTGCCACCGACGCCGACGGTGGCCGCCCAGGCCATGGAGGCCTGATCAGCCTCGCCCCCAGGCGCCACGGCCTCGGGTGTTTCGAAGTCGATGGGCTGCGCAGCGGCGTGCTCGTCCCAGGCCGAGCGTCCATCGCACACCGCAGCGGCGTCATCAGGGGGGCTTCGTGTGGAGCAACGTCTACCTCCACACCGCCGCGGGCCTCTCGGCCGCCAACCTCCTCACTCTGGATGCTGTGAGGTCGGCCGTGCGGTGCCTTGGCCTTCCCTTCATCATCGGCGGCGACTTCAAGATGACGCCGCAGCAGCTTTCCGAGGCCGCGTGGCTCGGGCACATCAACGGCGTGGCCATAAGCCCGACAGTCGGCACCGTCAGGCCCTCGGAGCGCGTGGTCGACTACTTCGTGGTCTCGCCGTGCCTCGCCTCGGCCACCGCCACCGCGCTCCTCGACTGGGGCTTCGGGCCGCATCGGCCCGTTCTTATCGAGATTGCCACCCGGAAGATCCAGCCCTGGATCCAGGTCATGCGAGCGCCCAAGCCCTTCCCACGGCCGCTTCCACTGGGCTGCTGCCCCCAGGACTACGAGCCTGCCTGGGCCGACGTCCGCTCCAAGATCGCCAGCGCTGACTCTGTCGACGAGGCTTGGCAGAACGTCATCAGGCTGACTTAGACGGTCTTGATCGATCGGTGCGGCCTTGGCGAGCAGCGCAGCAAGTACCGCGGCAGGGGGGGGGGGGCGCCCACGTTGCAGCGGGTGCTCGCCAGCAAGCCTAACCTTCCCAGGCGCCCCTGGCTGGACGCTGGCACGCAGGGGATCTCCCAGTGGGTGTTCGAGGCGCGCAGGGCCGCCTCGCTGAGCACCGCGCGCTCTCGCCTTGACGGGCTGCGCAGCCTGCGCGGGCTCAGCTCCAGGCTGCCGCCCATGGCCGACCAGCAGCGGACGGATCAACATGTGCAAGGCGCTGGCTCTCATCGGCAGCGTCTTCGACGCCCCGGCGTGCCGTCGGCAGGGTGCCTCGCTGAGCTCGTCAGCGTCATCTCCAAGAAGCACATCGAGCGCGCCATGGGGCTGGCGAGGCAGCGCATTGGAAACTGGATCGACCAGCAGCACGCGCTGGGCGGCAAGGGTTTGCATGCCTTCACGCGCGAGCCCACGCCCTGGCACCCCCGCCCGCTGGCCGCTGGCGCGCCCAACGGCGAGGACGGGCCGCCGCTGCCAGTTCCTGCCGACCAGCAGACCTGCGTCGAGCTGCTCGTCGTGGAGTGGACGCGCTACTGGAACGTCGGCGCCCGCGTGGCGGCGCTGCAGTGGCCCGCCGACCTCGGCGAGCGGACGCCGCGGCCAACCGCCAACCGCATGCGCGAGGTCTTTCGCAGCTTCGCCGCCGCCACGGGCACGAGCTTCGACGCGTTCTGCCCCCGCGACTTCGACGCCCTCGACGCAAGCGGCGTCGAGGGCATCGCCGACGTGCTCATGGGGGTCGAGCAGGAGTGCTGCTGGCCCCCCCTTCAGCAGCAAGCTCGTGTTCATCAGCAAGGGGGAGGGTGGCGTAAGGCCGATCGCCCTCCTCGCCGCCCTGGTCCGCGTCCACGGGCGACTGCGGCGAGACGTCGCGGCCGCTTGGGAGAGGGCCCGTCCCAGGGCTTTCGGGTGGGCATGCGCGGGCGCGGCCTGCGAGCGAGCGGTCTGGCGCCAGCTGGCCTGGAGCAAGTGGCTCGAGGCCAAGCGCGGCGAGAGGCCCGACCTCGACTGGGGCTCAGCGGCGGCCATCCTCCACTTGTGGAAGGCCTTCGAGCAGCTGGGGCACCAGCGCTCCATCGACGCCGCCGTGCAGCACGACTTCCCAGTCTGGGCGGTGAAGCTCCAAGTCTCCCTTTATCCTATGCCGCGGGCGCTGGAGCTCAACGGCGCGGTCTCGGACCTCATCGAGGTTCAGCAGGCGGTCATCGCAGGGGACATGTGGGCCACCTTCATGAAGCTCACCCCCCTCAGCCCGCTCGACCGCGCCCCGCGGGCCTCGCCGAGCGTCGTCCCTTCAGTTGTGGTCGACGACCTGGTCTTCCAGCGAGTGGGGGGCAGCAGGCGCGTGTCGTCAGCGAGCTGCGCGCGGTGGGCATCCACGTCGCCGCCAGGCTGTCTCTCCTGCTGGCCGACGCGCCGGCGGCGGCTGTGGCGCTCGAGAGCCGCCTGGCCCAGGCCGCCAAGGCGCGGCCGGTGGGTGCCGCCCGCGACCCTTGTGTGGATTTCGCCCTGGCCGGACGGGCGCCCGGGCTCGTCCGTCGGCGCCGCCTCAGGCAGGCCGCGAGGCGGGCCCCGCGCCTCAGGCGGCTCTTGGGCCCAGGGCGGCGCCGCCATGCCGCGGCAGGGACTTTCAAGCAGGGGGTCGAGGCTAGCTTTTCCTACGGCGTCTGCTGCGCGGGGCTCAGCGACACCGACCTCGACGCCGCGCGCGATGGCGTTCAGATCAGTCGAGATCAGGCCCTCGGGCAAAGTCGCGCCGCCGCCCTCGCCACCATCAGCAGGGGCTACGACCGACCCCGTGTTCAAGGCGACGCGTGACCCAGTGCGCGCGCTGCGCAGGGCTGTCCGGGAGCGGTGGCTCCCCAGACAGGCCCTGGACAAGGCCTTCGCGGCGGCTCTGGCCGCGTCGGGCAGCTGGGCCGACTGCCGCGGCCCCGTGGAGGCCGCTCTCCTGTCCATGCGCCGCATGGGCTGGGAGGCGTCCTCGCTCGGTGCATGGGCCGCGCGCGACGGCTTTCACCGCGGCGTCGGCGACGCCCATGGCTCGCCGAGGAGCTGCTCGGCCGCAGCTGCGAGCACTGGCAGGCCGAGCAGCTCAGCAAGCGCGGCGTCTCCTGGCTCGACGTCGGCATCGATTTCGGCCAGCTTCGGCGATGGGCGGCCAGCGGCCGCGGTACCTCCCGCGAAGCGCGGAGCTGGCCCAGCCTCAGCAGCGAGCAGCGCGGCTACCTCAGGTCCTGCATCGTCGACGGCCAGTGGACCAACGCCAGGAAGTACGGCAACAATCCGAGGTGCGCCCCCTCGGACACCTGCGAGCTCTGCCCCAACCACGTCGGCGACCTCTGGCACAGGCACCTCTGCTGCAGCGCCATCCAGCACCACGGCCTCAGCCTCCCGAGCGAGGTCGCCCTGCTGCTGCCGCAGGAGGACAATGCGGCTGTCAAGTGCCTTGCCGAGCGCGTCCCAGCCCAGCAGCTCCAGTGGGGGCCTCCCGGCGGCGGCTTCCTCGACCGCCTCCGCTGATGTCGCGGTGAGCCAGGCAAGCCCTTCGTCGGCCAGCCACTGTACTGCGACGGCGTCGTCGTTCAGGCCTTGGCAGCCGCACCAAGGCGCTGGGCGCGCCGCTGGTTGGGCCCTGGCAGAGCATCGAGGGCGCGGAGCTGCTGGCGGTGCTCATCGTCCTGCGGCGTGCCATTCCGCCCATCGAGCTGCACTGCGACGCCAGCTACGTCGTCGACGGCATCAACCTACGCGGCGAGGCCCGCGCGACGCTGGCGTCCTCAGCGCGGGGGCATCTCTGGCGGCAGGCGTGGCAGGCGCTCCGCGACTTCGGTGGCGTAGGCCCAGCGGGGCTCACGATCGTCAAGATCAAGGGCCACGCCACCGCCGCCCATGTCACCCGTGGCATCATCACGTGGAAGCAGCGCCGCGGCAATTACGAGGCCGGCCGTGTCGCAGGATGGGGTCGGCCACCACCTGCGCGCCCCCTCGGCCGAGAGACAGACGCAGCTGCGTGCCCAGCTCTTCGTCGACGGCGCCGCGCACTGGGCGGCCGCGGCCGGTGCTCCAGCGGCCGCCGACAGGCTCGACAGCATGCGCGGCTGCGTGGCCCGCGACGCGGCCAACAAGGGCCGCCTCCTCCTCGCCGAGCACACGTTCGGCGCGCTCGGCTCGGGCTCCTGGCGCTGCGCGGCGTGTCTGCGCACGGCGCGGGCCAAGAAGTCGAAGCAGGTGCTGCGTCGGTCCCCGTGCGCCCCCGAGATAGCCTCAGTGGCCAGGAAGGCGGCGCCGTCCAGTGCGGCAGCAGGCGTGGCCATCGCGGCGGCGGCGGTGGCAGCTGCGGCAGCCGCCGACGGCGCCGACAGCCAACCAGGAGTGCTCGGGTCTGGTCGGGGCCAGGACCCCGCGCGGAGCGCGGTGGGCAGGAGCCCGCGACCGCATGCGAGGTTGGCTCGGCCCGCGGCCAGGGCCCAGCGTCGAGCGCGCGGGGCCCGCCGCCTGCACCAGCAGGGGGCGCTGCGGCCCAGGGCGCCGCCGCGGCCAGCGGCCAGGTCGGAGCCACGGCCACCCGCGGGCGCACCTCAGAGGCAGCTGCGAGGTCCCGATCCCCACGGCCCGCCCCGGCACAGCCGTCGGCGGGGCCAGCGGGGCCTGCCGGGGGCGAGACCGACGCCGAGGGCGGCCCGCCGCGGGCGCGTGATGCCCTCGGCCACGTCGTGCAGCGTGCCTTCGGCTACGTGCTGTGCGCGAGGTGCCGCGCCTGCGCCAGGGAGCGCCTCGGCAGCATCAAAGCTTTAACGGCTCAGTGCGCCCCGCACGTGGGCGAGGCTGGGCGCATCCGACGTTTTCGGGCTGACCGCATTCGGCGGGGTCAGCACCCCGCCACCTCGGCTCGCCTCGCTAACGGCGCGGCCGCTGGCGAGGCACCTGGCCTCCCGAGCGCCGCCGCCGCCGCCGCGCGGCTGGGCTAGCTGCTCGATGCTTCGGCGCCACTCGCGCGCCCCGCCGCGACGGCCCACGCGTCGTCGGCGGCCCCCCGTGCCGCTACGGCCCACGTGTCGTCGGCGGCGGCGGGCTTCGCCGCGACGGCCCACGCGTCGTCGGCGGCCGCCTCGAGCCGCGACCCGCGACGGCCTACGCGTCGTTGGCGGCGGCGGGCTTCCGTGCGCCCGTGGTGTGCGCAGGGGGCGTCGGTCACCGCCGTCCTCCTGGGGCCTTGCCCCCCCGAAAAAGAGGTTGTTGCGGTGTGCACATTCGCTGTGGTGTACACAGGTGCAGTGGTGCACGCCATTGTGGTGTACACAGGCGCTGCGTTGCACACGGCTGTTGCGGTGTACGCAGGCGCTGTGGTGTACACGCGCGCTGTGGTGCACGCGAGCATTGTGGTGTACACGGGCGCTGTGGGGCAGATCGCCACCTACATGCTGCTATCGTCGTCGTCGTCGTCGTCGTCGTCGTCGTCGTCGTCGTCGTCGTCGTCGATCGTCGTTCGTCGCTCATCGTCGTCGTGCGCGCGGGCGCGTTTGTGGTGCCGGAGTCACACGGCGGTGGGGGTGGCGTGACGTCATACCCCTCTCCCGCCCCCCCCACATGACGCCCGTCATCGCCGAACAAAAAACAACGCTTTCCAACACGTGAGCGACGGGGCCGGCTGCGTCGACATTGGCGCGTATGCTGCGCGTGTCTGGTCGCGAACAAACGCTGTTGTTTTCCAATGTGGCGTGCCGCGCTGGCGGCCTGCATAAGCCACTGCGTAAGGTCGCTGTGCCATCTCGCGTAAGACCCGCTTCTTTTCGTCGCTCACACGGACTCAGGCGCCGCGGGCTCGGTACGTCGCGGGCCCCCACGCGGAGACCAGAAACCGAGGAGAATCGGCCGCTGAGACGCCTCCAGGACGCCATTGGGACGTCGGGTGGCCTGGTACGCTCCCGCCGCCGCCGCAGCCGTCGTCGTCGCCGTCGTCGTCGTCGTCGTCGTCGTCGTCGTCGTCGTCGTCGTCGTCGTTGTCGTCGCTGCTGCCGCCGCCGCCGCCGCCGCCCGCCAAACTCGGCCCGTGCCTCGCGGGGCGCCTCGCCGCGCCGAAACCGCCGAGGCCGCCGAGAGCGCCGAGGCCGCCAGGCTCCGCCGAGCCCGCCGAAGCCGCCGGGCTCAGCCTGTGCCGCGAGCGGCGTGGCGCCGCGGGCGGTGCCGCGCGGGGCCATGCCGCGGGCCGTGCGCGCGGGGCCCAGCTGGGCCGCAGGCGGGGGGCGGCCCTCGGTGGGTGCGATCGAATTGGGCGTCGCGTCGCGGGTGGGCGACAGGTTGGGCGGCAGCGAGGGCTGCAGGAGTAGAGGCCCTTCGGGGCCCCTGCAAGGGGCCTTTCGGGGCCCAAGAGGGGGCCTTTCGGGCTCGAGAGGAGGGCACCCTTCCTTCCCCCTGTCATTAGTCGCACCCCTGCGTTAATTTGCGCCCAATATCGACATTCGTCGAGGCTCCTTTTTTTCAAATGGGGTCCGAGTAGATGGGGTCGGAGGATCGCGCCGCATCGCCGACGCAGTGGCGATGCGGCGCGATGTGGAACCCGATTTGCTCTACGCCGACGTCGCAAAAGCTTTTCAAATGGGCACGGAAAGCGTGGGGGCGACGACGGACAGCCCCAGGTATGCTCGTGTCGTGACCGAATCGCGACGTGTTGTTGTTGTTGTTGTTGTTGAACATTATTACTTCTAAAGAATAATTATTGTTGGGACCCCTGGTGCGCGCCCCCCCCGCCGCGCCTAGGCCGCAGCCACATTTTCATCATTTTCGTGAGGAAGTCTCAGGCAAAACGATGTGATCC